GTGAAACAAATTGTGATACATCTGTACCATGAGGTCCTGCTTAGCAGTAAATAGGAGCACATTATTGACTGATATATGCAAACACCTGAGTGAATCTCCAGCTAATGATGCTCAATTAGAAAAACAGCTTATCTCAAATATTACATGCTGTGATTTATTTACATAACCTTTTAATGACAAAATCATATAAATGTAGAACAGACTAGTGGTTGCCAGGTATTAAGGAAGGAAGGTGGGGTGGGAGGGAAAGTTGGGTCACTATCAAAGGGCAACATGAGGGATCCTCATGGTGATGGAAATTCTCTCTCTCTATCTTGGCTGTATCAATGTCAGTATCCTAGCTGTAATTCTGCAATTATCTTAAAAAGAAAGTTTAATTTGAAAAAATATGACCTAGCAATAGAGAAAAAAGTTCTTCCACCCAATTTTGTATGTGTAAAGTCAATACAGACACAAAGTAGTATGTTCATTAACATGGTTAAGCAGTGTCTTCTTTATCTGAACAATGAAAACGACCTTTTTCTCTATTATTATCTTAACATAAGAAGTAAAAATGGCCTACCTTTGCTAGGTATTACATGTCAGAGTCTTTCCTAAGTGATTTATCTGAAAATATACACTTAATTGTAACACAGTCTTATGGGAAAGACATTTTGCGATCTATTTTACAAGTCAGGAAACTAAAGCAAAGGGATATTATGTCCAAGGACATACAGCTAATAAGTTTGAGAATTATATGTACATAAATCCATTTTATTAATTTTTTCCCCATAATGAAGGGATGTTAACAGACATTACATATTGTACCAACAATGTATGATAGGTCAATTATAGTGATTATCATTTTTAAAATTTGACAAGTGAACAAAAAGCCAGTTAACATTTTTAAGTAAATCTAAGAATGACAATAGGTAGAGTGTTGAATACACTTCCAATAAAATATGCTATACCAAGAGTCTGATTTTTTGTCTGACAATATCATTTTTCATAAATCAGTCATTGCTGGATCATACACTTCTTTCTATCAATATTTTGTAATATAACCTCTTATAATGTGAGTCTAGAAAAATCTGACATGTGCTAGTTATCAAATATTCTGTTGGTTATCTTATAGCAAGTGGACTAAAATTGGCACAATTGCCAAGAAAAATAACTATTTTATGAATAAAATCAACAATTTTGCTAAAAATAGCAAAACTGAAAGTTGTATGAGGCTATATGCTAGAAAGTACAAATTTTTGATTTAATTAAATAAAACATCATTAATATGTTTGAGATTCTATTATACAAGGAACTCTTAGTTTCTTGAAAGTATGTAAAGATAAGGTATTAAAATACTCTCCTTCATATCACTGTCTTAATTCAGCACTAACATGAAGGAGGTAAGACACATATATAAATATTCTTCAGAAGAGGAAACGGGGTACAACTGGAAAGATTTATATGAAGCATAATGAAGAGAAAATACAATCTTCCGTGAATGAACTTAGAAAATTTACCTGGAATTAGAGCCCAAATTTCTCTGTTGCTGAGTCGAGAAGTCTTTTACAGTCCTCAGAGTCATATGTAAACTTTTATAACTATTATCAGTTGGTAGGGTGAAGTTCAGAGCAGGTTTGGAAGAGAGCTGAGATCAGAAAAGCCTCCAAGCATGCAATACTGTGTAGAGGATGACTCGGCTGTTCTGCTTTGATAACAGTTGCTTCCACTGGGCGGCTCCTGCAATTCTTCACAGGACTCCCTCCGCCTTTAGAAGGGCCGGTGACCCCACTTTGCCTGCTGCTATTGAAAACCAGAAGTAATTGACACATTTGAGAATAGGTGAGCCCCACTCTGCTGCCCCCGTAGGACAATGCTGAGAGTAACTTACACACTAGTGTTCCCACATCCTGAAGCGTTTCATCTGTAGGAATTTGGTATAAAGTCACACTCTTTGAAGTCTTCTTCCCTGATTTGCTTCTTTCATTTCTTTACTTTTTTCTCTTAGGAGCATTTTCTTAATAAATCACAAGCACATATATCCTTATTTCAGATTCTGCTTCTGACTTAAGCCATGACAGATGGCTATTAGGATTACAGAAAAACAGGTGAGATATCAATATTCAGAGATGGAATTAAACAAATGAGCATTTTCCATAAAAAAAATCCCATTCTCAGGAAACCATGGGATACTTTCAAGGAACAGTGAATGATCTGTGTGTTGAATAAAAAAAGGTTTGGATCTGTTAAGAATACTCATACAATCAGATGAAGAATTTGTCTTTAGTTCAGTAAGCAAAATTGAATCTAAAAGATTTGATCTTGCTGAGTATAATGATGACTATAATTTAGCGAGATAGGATTGGTTTCTGAATGCAAAATGTAAAGAAAATATGTACCCATTCCCTAGGGTGGCCACAACAAATTACCACAACTGTGTGGCTTAATACAGCAGAAATTTATTCTCCACAATTCTGGCAGCCAGAAGTCTGAAATCAAGGTTTATGCATGGCCACACTTTTTCTGGAATCCTTTCTTGCATCTCCCAGCTTCTAATGGTTGTCACTATTCCTTGTGGTTGTATTACTACAATTTGCCTTGGTTTTCCTATGACCTTCTCATTGAGTCACTTCCTCTTCTGTCTTTAATTCAAGGCACAAGGAGCCCAAAGCGGCTGAGTGGTAATCTTAAATTCTGGTTCAATGAAATCATTGTTGGGTCTCTTAGAAGTACACTTGTCTTTGGATTTAGAGACCACTCAGATAATGCAGGACAATCTCATCTAGAAATTCTTAACTAATTACATCTGCAAATTTTTTTTCCAAATATAGTCACATCCATAGGTTCTGTGTTGAGTAAGTGAGCATATCTTCTGGAAGTCACCATTCAACCCAGTGCAGGGTAATGAATGGTTTGACAGATCCACCTGCTTTCAAAGAATGTCAGCTAAAGAATCACTGAGGTGCTTTCAGCTCAAATCAGGGGATCAGTGGCCAATGCTTAATCCCAAAGTTAATTTCTCCAAACCCTGAGAGCAAAACCATGAAAATTTACAAAGAAAGTTACATAAGAGATTCTATGGTGAAGTTTCAATATAAGTAAAGAGTCCTGGAGAATGAAAATAGAATTGTGGTTAATGCAATGCATGGGTTATAAAAGACTAGGGGGCGTCTTGGCACGGTGGCTCATGTCTGTAGCCTCAGCACTTTTGGAGGCCCAGATGGGTGGATCACCTGAGCCCAGTAGTTCAAGACCAGCCTGGGCAACATGGTGAAACCCCTTCTCTACAGAATACAAAAAAATTAGTCAGATGTGGTGGCATGCAAGTGTAGTTCCAGCTACTCTAGAGGCTATAATGGGAGGATTGCTTGAGAAAAGAGAGGCCACGCATGAGCAATGATAACACTGCTGTACTCCAGACTGGACAACAGAGCAAGACCCTGTCTCAAACAAAAAGATGAAGGGGTGTAATTGAAGACCCAAGAGTTCAAATCTAAATAGGTACTTATCTAATTGTATATCAAATTTAATATTTTAAAAGTTGAAATATTATATATAAACATATTTTTGTGTACATATATGCAAAAATATATGTCTCCAGAATGTGAAGGAAATGTTAATAAAAACATTTGACTTAATCCTTGATAAAAATATCATTTTCAGCTATCTCACTGAAGAGTTCTAGAAGTCTGTTACTCTTTGTATACCAGTAGTCATGAGGATCAATCATAATATAGAGCTCTGGTGTCTAGATCTCAAACTTTGCTTACTCTGAACTATAGCTGTCATGGTGAAGCCCATTCTTAACACCTTCCAGCTGTCACAGGATTACTTATTATTACTGTTTCCTTCCCTTGCTTCTTCAGCCCTAAGAGTAGTATGGACTTACAGCTCTCTAAATCTCTGGGTACTGCAGTTTTCATTTTCTCTCCATTTAGCCCTGTTCTTATCTCAGTAAGTAGTCCCTTAATTAAAACTTCTGCATTTTAAATATCCCAGATTGTTTTCTTTACAACCAGGCCATGACTGATACAATGATTTGCTAATGTATGATAGTATAAGCGTAATAACGATAAAGCTAAAATCATTCAAAAGTTTTGTTTGGGATTACATATAAGTAGGGTACTCAATTAGATAAGCAAATATTATTTTTGTCTTAAATCTGAGTACAATTGGTCTATGTTTTAAGATCTTTGAAATTTGAAATGCCTTAGAGACTCAACTATTTTAGAATTTAACTTAGCAGTTTAAAATGTTTCAAGGAAATTTAATTAACTAAGTTTGCAAATGGTATTAATTGTTCAGTGGAATTTAATCTTTCAAACATAAGTTAATTGAATATCAGTCAATGCACAAAAGGAATTGAGCACTATTAATTTTGAAAACATATAAGATTATAGGAAAATTCACTAGATTTATGGCAGGCATTTAGAGTTGCAAGGGAAAACGGGTTATTATATTCATAATCTTTGTTGATGCTCATAATCTTAAAAAACTGACTATTGATTAAAACACACAAAAACTCTCTTAGATATTAAATACTCATATGATAAAATGTAAGTGTTGCTATACATCTGTCCTAATAGTCAAAACTCCTCTAAAACCTTTATTAATGTAACTGTAATATTAGCAGTAAAATTGAATAATATAGAGAAAAATACATTTTGAAATGTTCTTCCCCTTTTCATAAGATATTTAAAATAACCTGATGACTTTTAGATAAACTGTATGTTATATTGTTGAAGAAGTTAAGCAGAATCATTTAAATCAATCATATAATTTTATCATCACATTGTAATCTCCATTGTTTATTAATCTGTTCAAGGTAATCTGTTCAAGATAAAGTAACAAGGAGACCCTTTATTCCTAAAATGATTCATCCATTTTCTAGAGCTCATTAATTGCTCTGGCAAATTTACAGCAATGGAGCTAATATGTCCCTGATTATCTGGCTACACCGACTCTTCAGGGTTTAAAATAGCTTTCCATTTTGCAGTACTATAACAAGCTTGTCAGACCTCTTTGATTTGTCTCCGTTTTCAACCGGCAGGGAAAATGCCTCAAAAAAGACGTTTGTTTCTCTGTTCAGAGCAGTAGCTTTGATGAGTATAAGAAGGTAAAGCTTGTATTGTTATTTGTTTGGTCATTGAGACATTTTAGTGTTTGTGAATATAGTATTTACATTTTTCTGATCTTTCAGAATTAATATTCCATGCCTATTTTATAAAACTTCACTTAATTTCATTTTTGTGTGATTTTTAATAGGAAAACAATGTTTAAGTTTCTCTGGGAGATATATATGATAGAATACTACTCAGTCGTAAAAAGGAAGAAAATAGTGGCATTCACAGCAACCTGGATGCTATTGGAGATTATTACTCTAAGGAAAGTAGTTCAGGAATGGAAAACCACACATTGTATGTTCTCACTCATAAGTGGGAGCTAAGCTATCAGGATGCAAAGTTGTAAGACTTTGCACAATGAACTTTGGGCTCTCAGGAGAAAAAGGTGGGAGGGAGGTGAGAAACAAAAGAAAAAGTTGGAAAAAATATTTAACTTTATGCATATTTTCATTGCTTTAAATATTCTATTCAATTTATGATTTTTATTATTTAATATTCTTATCTTATTTAGCATTAAAATTTTAATTAGTTTTTTGTTACCTATTAATTTTATGTTTTCAAAATTTTTATATTCTGTTGTGAGTTTTAATTCTCTTATTCTTAATCTCCTAATTTCTCTTAAGCACTTAATTTGTTTAATATCTTATATTTTATTGTTATATTTTCCTTTAAATTAGAAGAAAACTTATTCTCATTTACTTGATTACAGTTTACCTTTTAAAAATGAATGTCTTTAATGAGTGAATTTCCAAAAAATAGAAAGATGTATTTCTCTGTAATGGGCTGCATAATACTCTCCCAAAGATACCACACTCTAATCCCCAGAACCTGTGAATAAGTTACTCTATGGCAAAAGGGACTTTGCAGATACAATAAGATACCGATCTTGAGATATTTGGATTAGGTTGTGGGTACAACCTAATCATGTGACTTCCTGAAAGTGATGAGGAAAGCAGAAGTGTGGATCAGAGAGAAGAAAAGAGAAAGAGAGATTCAAATATGGAAAAGACTCAATCTGCCCTTGCTAGCTTTTTAGAAGGAGGAAAGGAAACATGAGCCAGGGAGTAAGGGTGGTGCCCCGAAGATGGGAACAGCCTTCATTTGTCAGCCTACAAGGAAATGGAAACCTCTGTGGAGACCTGTGTTGCACTTATATACTACAGAAATGTAAAATAATAAATTTTCGTTGTTTCAAGTAATTGAGTTTTGGAAATTCTTACAGCAGCAACAGAAAACTAATGCATTCTTTAATATTTTATTTTCATTTTTATCATACACATAGTATAAAATAAATAATATAGAAAGATTTATTTAAAAACAAGCAAACAAACAAAGCATTGCAAACCCCACCTTCCCAGTACCTGCTCACATTATCAGGTCCCAACTCCCAAAGAGAAACTCTTTGACATTTTTCTGTTTTTCTTTCTGCCCTTTACATAAAGAACAACTTTTTTAGAAGCGGGAGGGTAATTCAGATTGACATTTGTTATTGACACATACAATAAAATAGGAGTTTTGCTCAATTATACTATACATTACTCTTCCCCCTTTTCATTTTTAATTTATCTTGGTTATCACAATGTTTTCAAATAACACAATGAAACCTCAATTATATTTTTTAAATTTTAGATGGAGTTTCTTGATTCCCTACTTTGTTAGGTTTTCTGATAGAGTCTTCTTAGATATTCTACTTTGTTCTGGGCCATATGTCTGAATAAAACCCCCAACCCCTTGCATTTAAATGTGGCCATGTGATGAGTCCTAGTAATGGACCAGGAGTGGAAGTTGCTTGCATCACTTGCAGGATTTACTTACGCATGCTTTCCATACTTCTGTTCTCTTGCCTTCTACCATCTAGTTGTAAGAGAGTATCATGTTACTGGAAAACCAATTTGAATACAATACAGTGGCAAGATAAAGAGATGTTGGGTTCTTGAGTAACATCTCATTTTTGACTTTACAATAATAACAAAAAAACTTATAGTATGTTTGAGCCATTATATATTTCAAGGAGTGTTTGTTGTAGTAGTTTACATTGTCTTACAAATACTGGATTACATTACTACCTCTAAACATTCCCCTTATCACTCCTTTTTGTGGAGGAAAGATAGCAATGTAGATAAACAGTGGACCAGAGAAAAGAGGTCAAGAGAAAATTTTCTATGTTTCCTAGAACTTGCCATTCTATGCCTTTATTCCGAAAGCCCAAATCTTTTCCTGTCCTTTGACTCTTCAAACTGACCTTGTTATTTCCAATACACACCTATTTTATCTTAACTAACAAAACAAGCAATTATTTGATGCTTGTGACTAAAAGTTGCAAATAGTATGATAGGAAAACATTAGTATTTTATAAAGGTATGTTACAGTTTTATGAGCTAATTAGAGATATGCAAGCCATTATGTTTCTATCTCTCTTTTTTATTCTGTATTGAATGTAACAGATCTCAGAACAAAGTAGTTTACTTTTCTAGCAACTATAGGCTTTCCCTTCATTTTGTCACCTTATTCTCTGATCACTGAATATTCACATTTTGTAATTTATGCCATCTCAAATACTTCATTCAATAAGAAAGGACGTAAATAAATATGATATCCATTTCTACATTACTGTTACTCTAAGTTATAAAGTAATTACAATTACAGAGTGTGATCATTACTACTTCTCTATTTTATATAATGTTATTAATGATTCATTATGAGATAAAAGATTAATTTCCATATCCTATTTCTCAGAACGCTGAGTCTCTGGAGAAGTGTTTTAAGAGTTTCTGATAAATAATAGTTAAATTACCTAATGAACAACTTCACAATTCTCTGATAAATTGGTTTTTCTATATGAAATTATATGAAATAAATCTTACTAAATGTATTTGATACTCTATTATTAAGGAAATTTCATACTATTATATTACGTGTAAAAATCCAATACTGGTAATGCCCTCAGTGTAAGAAACGCACGCGTGCACAAACACACACACACAATCGAAGTTCAAGAAAAATGTTCAACCTTATCTTAGTACTAAATTGTTTATTCAATAAATCCAAATTATTGTGGTATGTATTCAAGTCAAAATTAATTCTACATGCTAACTCATTATCAATTTTTAATATGCAAATTTTATACCAGAGACCAGTCAATATTTTTCATAGTTCTTATATTAAAAACTGCTAGGTTTTAGGTTTAGCAAACCCTTTTCTACAAATAGCGGGAAAAAAATACAAAAATTTATTAGTAGTTTTTCAGCAGCAATACACTTTGCTACTTGCTGTATTCTCTGTAAGCCGACACTTTTTTGTCATAACCAATTTTAAAGCACTTAACATAATCTATTGTGTTACAATGCATATTTAGTTCATTTGTGATTAGTAAATAGAGAAAATGCGTCTTACTGGATTTTACTGGTTTATACATGACTTTTTCTAACATGGTCACTCTGGTGTGCCACTAAGTAGTAGAAGCTAAATGCAAAACGTATTAGCAAAATAGGAGGCAGCAGGAGACAAAGAGCTAGCGTGCTATGCATAACACCATTCTCTCAGTGTTCTTCCTGTTGGCTACTTAGACTTGTGAGTCGTGCTTTTGTTTCCATTACTTAGTAACCACAATTGTTCCTTACGCTCTTTATTACTCTATCTTCATCTTTCTCTTCTTTTAAAATAAAGTTCTCTGTTTTTGAAGTATTTTTAATGACTTATTAGCAATTTAAAACTTTTAAGCTATGTTTTTTATAGGACTTTAGTTACAAAGCTGCATTTGTTTTGAGTTAATTGCCCCAACTTTATTTTCTCATAATCTCTTTATAGTTAATATCAGAGTTTACAGAATGCATATATCATATTATAAAAGGACACTCTAATTTCTTACCTTTGGGTATTGAATTGCAGATAATTCTCTGTACTTGTGATGTCTAGAAAATACATCGATTACTGCTCTTATTACTGTGCTACCGTCACCATTACTATCTCCAACTATTAATTGTACTACTATTACCATTACCACGACCTCCAATACCTATTATCTACTGAGTCCCTATGTTATTCTAGGTATGCATGAGATGCTTTAAGACATTGTTCATATATTGCTGACATCAACTCTATAAGGTATTATTTTACAGATGAAAGAATCAGTACTTAGAAAATAAAATAATTTGTGAAATTATTGCACAGTAGTAGATGAATAAACCAGAAATCAAAGTTTAATTTATCTTAAGTCAAATGCTGTACTCTTAAATATCATGATATGTTGCTCTGTCCATTTCATATATTAGCCTCAATAAATGTAAACACATCAGATTCATTTTGTAAATGGCATTAAATATAACTATTATTAGTGTAGCACTGTGTCAGTTTGAGCCTTCGTTTTTCAGTCATTCTTCTGCAGAATTTTACAAAACCAAAGTGGTTCAACAAGGTGGATTCATCAGCCTTAGAAGACTATTTGTATATGGGCCAAGATTCATCCTAGAAATTTACTGAGCTTGTGTATAGCAATGAAGTTTTGATATAATTCTCCACGGACATGCCCAGAAAACAGAAAAGAAGAAGTAAGAGGTGTGTATATGTGTGTGTTTTGTTAGAAAAGATGTTAAAGAATGTTTTTGGTTAGAACCCATTTTAGTGGAAAGGGGTCTAGAAATGTTAAGCTTGACCCATGAGAAATATTTTCTGTCTGAGAGAGGAGTGATTCTGAGTAAAAGTTAGGTTATCTGAATTTGCACCAAGTAGAGCAGCTTTAGCACCTAACATGGGAAAGCAGTGGGGACTATGATAGTCTGGGACATCTAAACCAGGTAGACCCACATAGCGTACTAGTGACATATAGTGATATAGTAGGCATACTGTGGAAATGGATTTGTTTCTGAGGACTACTGAGACATCTTTAGCAATCTGGAGAAACTCTTACTGGTGTAAGTGGGCTGTAGGTATTTTGCTAGAAATTTTATATGAGCAGATGGAAACACAAGAAACAAAGGTAATTTGTAACCACTTATTATAAAGTTTTTAATGTATTTCCATTGTAATTTAAATAAAATATTTTATTTCAGAGTATGATATAATCTTACTAATACCTCAAAAATATGAAAATAATATTAAGAGGTGGTTACAGAAAGATAAGTATTGTACCTTTAATTTCATTTTTATCAGAGAAAAAGTGATTTTAGTCTAACTTATTCATAATAGGGTTCCGTATTTGAGTTTTCTAACAATGTGTTCCAATATAATAATAAACTACATATGAATGTAGTGAAGAATAGGGATATAGTATAAGTCATGAAATTATTCAAGTCTTTTTCTTGTCAAAAAGGTAAAGAAAGAATAAAAAATACAATATCAAAATAAGTTTGAGCTTTTTTGGTTTTCCAAACAAAAGTGTATTTAAAACAATTTTCTTTAGGAAGTACTCCAACATTGTACAGTTTTTGTCCACATAGCTACCCTTACCAAATTCACCTATAAACAAACTCTCATGACACTTACTTTCCCATTGTAGAGAATTTTAAAACTGAACCAAATGTTGAACATAAGTCCTCTTTTTAAAAAACTATTAGATGACAAAACAGGGGACTGTGATCCTAGAACTCAAAGAAGCAAATGAAGTGAGCAGCACTCTCACCCTGGCAACCTTCTTGGGAACATTTTTCCAGACTGCGGCTTAGGAAGGTGGAACTCATGCAGCCAGCTGCAGCCTTGCTCAGCTGAAGAGGCAGAGATAACATGCAATCTTGCTGAAGTAGTTAGAATATGTGTGTGGTGCATATAAGAGAAAGGCGGTATTATTAGAAGGTATCTCCAGAAGAGTGCTTCAGGATTCTCCTTGGGTCTTTGGTAATGACTCAGCTGTGCATGTCAAGGACATGCACACAGGGAATACTTCATGCAGCCACTGGGGTGATCAAAAGTACTGGGATTTTGTTGTGCTGGTATATGTTGACGTTTCTCCCAAACCAGATTAACAAGATCTTGCTGAGCATTTCAAGAATTCCAGATGAGAGTTCTGAAAGGTGAGTCATTAAAATAAAGATTAAGCCCTAGACTACAATTTCATGGGAGAAATACATGAGAGAAAAACAATGACATAAAAAGAAATAAGAAAATAAAGGTGTTAAACTGAGTCAGAGAAAATCAAGATGAATTTTAGTACTTTTAAATCCTGCTATTACAAAACTCAACTTTTAAAGTAAAAAAATACCCCAAATCTACACTCTCTCAAGTGCATCACTCAGAATGTCAAATAGACAATTAAAAAGTATAAAATATGCAAAAATTTGGGAAGATATGATGCATGTGGAATAAGTAATAAATCACCAACTTACTGTATACTTTCTCCCACACTCTTTGTTCTACGAATTTTTCATCTCGAGTAACTGCAATGACTTGCTTATTGTCTGAGCCACACTTTGTTCCATGGTTCACAAAGGTGGCCAAGAGTATAGAAAATGGCATATGCTAAAATCACACTTCAACTCTAAGTCTTAACCATTGTCTTCACTTCTAGCTTTTTTAGTGAGTTTATTTGTTCCTTACATTTCAATAATCCTGCTATTGAAAAGATGCTACCTTCAAGAAACTCTCTTATAGAAACTAATATACACTTCTCCCATAAACATATTTTATATACAATATGTAGTAAACCAATAAAAAAATTCCAGAATAAGTTTGATACATTCTCTGTGCAAGTGAGAATCATTTGTGGTACAGTGGACACAGTAGATTCAGATTCCTGATCTTTAACTTGTTGTAATGAGATCTTGAAATTCACATTCAGTGATAACTTCAATTCCTTTGGTCAATTTGATGATTTGTAAGACCCAACTTATTTTCACTACATCTTTTTCTGTTAATATTTTCTGTTTGCTGCAATTCATTCTGGTAGAAATAGGACTCAAGACAAGTCTAACATATGTAGAATAAAGGGTTGCAAATTATTTAAACTGTTTGAATGGTATAGAGGTATGGAAGTTCTACTGGTATTTGGGAAAATTTACTGCTTACTTCCTATCTGTCTTTTTGTTAATCATTTTAGTCTGTATCAATTTTTTAATGGATAGCCAGGTAAGTAGTTTTATTTAAGGTTTTAAAGTATTACTCTATTTATATCTGTGAGGAAATTATTTACTTACCAATACTTGTGAGATAGCAAGAATGCCTATTGAATATTAAAATTGCTCTTCTGCTCTTGAAAGGTAAGCATAGAAAAACATTTCACCACTGTAGTAATAATATTCTCAGATTATTTACTGAAAGTATTAACCAGCAATAGGGGAAAATAGATATTTGTGAGTATCATGAAGCAAGAGTTTAGATTTTTTCTAATGGTATCTTATAGCCAAAGCCTTTCTTGAAATGTCACCAATGACCACCCATTGCTTTGAATTTGTTTTCTCATTGTTATGAACTTGTTACCCTCATCCAGCTGTACTGACAGATGGTTGGTATCTTCCTTACTATTTTACTTTGAGTTACTGCCAAGTAAAATTCCAAGGGTATTCATAAATACCACTGTGATGTACTAACATTAATGTAACATTAGCAAGGTTTCTGAGTCCCTAGTCTATAGTATATTTAAGCCTAATATTCTTATCAATGTACTTGCAAAATACAGTTTAGATTACACAGCTATTATGTCAGCAAATTATAATCAGAAAGCAATAAACAGGGGTCAGATGGGAGGCAGGGGATATAACTAGTGTCCTACAGGATTAACCTTAAAGTTAGAGTTTTAAACTTCCATCAATGTCTGGAATGATGGACCGGAAAGAACAAGAATTTTGATTGTAAATCATGCCACATTAGGCTATGTTTCACCTTGGATAAAAAACAAATTAGTATTAAAAGTGTCCTTTATAAATATATATAAAAAAGATATGACTGAAATGGTGAAATCCAGTGCAATAACACTGATGGTGAAGGAACAAAATACTCAATTCAACAACAGCTGTTGTTTCTTTGATATTACAAAAGAAAAAAATGGCATCGTAAGTCTGTAAAAGTCTACTATAGTTACTAAAAAACCTCACATTTCTGAATAAAGTTAATACAATTCAAAGTAAAATAATAATTGTTATTAAGTCTATTCTCTTTAAACATCTTATTTTTATTAGAAAACACATTAAAGTACTGTATTTTAGAACATGTACATGTAGATTTAAGCAAAGCACTAATGAAATAGGGAAGGCGCACTGAGCACATATGCTTGTCTTTTCCTTCTGTTCAAATGCAGAAGAATTTTCTTTTCTTTTTTTTTTTTTTTTTTGAGACAGAGTCTCATTCTGTCACCCAGGCTGAAGTGCAGTGGTGTTATCATGGCTTATTGTGGCCTTGACCTTCTGGGTTCAAGTGATCCTCCTAATCTCAGCTTCCCAAGCAGCTGGGGCCACAGGCACATACCACCATGCCCGGCTAATTTATCTGTTTCTTGTGGAGACGGGTTTTCAGTCTCAAACTCCTGAGCTCAAGCAATCTGCCTGCCTTGGCCTCCAAAAGTGCTGGGATTACAGGAGTGAGTCACCATGTCCAGACAGAATTATTGTTTTTAATCTATTCCTGCTTGATTGAAAACTATGGTGATTCTGTGAAAGATGGCAGCTGAAGGAGATTGTATTTAAGAATAATTCAGAGCCTAAAGTGTGCAGACATGAACTGAAGATTAAGAAAAAAATAGGTATGATTCTAGAGTTATAGAGGTAGGTAGGTATTGTTTTATATGTATATTTTTTAGAGTCAGAGTTTTGCTCTGTCGCCCAAGCTGAAGTGCAGCTTTAAATTTCTGGTCTCAAGTGATCCTCCCTCCTTAGCCTATTGAGTAGCTAGGGCTACAGTTGCACACGAACATGCCAAGCCATATATCTTTTTAACTTTTTTAGAGATGGGGTCTCACTATGTTTCCCAGGGTGGTCTCGAGCTCCTGGACTCAAAGACTCTTGCTGCCTTGGCCTCCCAAAATGTTGAGATTACTGGTATGAGTCAACCTGCCTGGCTGGGTAATATATGTTGATTCTTCAGGCGAGACTTTGGAGAATTTGTGGAGGTATCACATTTATTTTTGTTTATCATATCTCTTCCATTTGGGTGATACAGAGCAGACATACCTTTCTCTCCTCCAAGTGGAGCACTTGAATCATAGAGAAGTTAACCTACTGACTATAACCAAGGAGGAAGGAATGAATATCAACACAACAGGAAAGTAAACAAGTGAAGATGGAGAGGAAGAGGGCTCCAAGAAGAGAAAAGATATGTTAAAGGATCTTCCTATCAGCTGATGAAATGGATCATCGCACCCAGCAACAAGTTCGACCCTTCTTCCACTATTACTGCAGTCAAAATCCAAGATATCCCTGCCCAGTTCAAATGTAACCTTATAAGAGAGACCATCTTTGTCTATTCAACTAAAATAAACTACTTCTGCCTATAATTTTTTACTCTATTCCATAATTTTAATTTCATCAGAGAACTTATCAGCATTTACACCATCTAGTTTACTTGTTTACACCAGACGCACAAAAACCCATATACCATGCTAGGTATATCACACATGGAGTGTGTGTATCATGAAGTCATATTACTCAGTTTAAAAAAAATTCTTCTCGAAATATCAGGACATTTCTAAAATTATCATAATATTGGTGCAATTAAAATTAGGAGCCAAAAAACCACATACTAATAAAAACTTGGGTATCAAAGGCAAAACTATTAATGGGAAAAACAATAAGTCACTTTAGAAAATTTCAAAATATTTATTTCAAAATATATGTGAGGCAGTAAACAGTACTCAGAGGGATTCTTGTAACTTTAAATGCTTACCAAAGACAAAAAGGCTAAAAAATAATAAGCTCATTTTTCAAATTTAGATGCTAAAAACCTAATTTTAAAAACTAAAAGAAAGCAGTGAGTAGATAATCAAAACAATGTTTTATGAGACAGAAATCACACAAGTGTCGTAAGTTATAAAGAATCATTAACTATTTACAAAGAATTAATTACTACTAGGGAGTAAAAAGATAACTATGAGAATATTTTAGGGCTATGGGAATGAACTCAAGGAGGGAAGAATCATGGTAGAAGGTCTCCCTCTTAAGGCTGGAATTCAGGATCTATTGGAGAGGGTGCGCTTGGCGTCATCTCTGGAGAGCAGAGAAATTTGTTGGGTTGCCCCAGTCCTGGGCTGCCCTACAGTCTGCAGGCTTATACTGTTGGTCAGGGAGCCAGGGGCTGGAGCTCCTCTCCGAGGTATTAATGAAACTCATAAGGAAGGAGTCTTTCAAACTTGTTAGGAAGTCACCTGTGTAATGTGGCCAGGTGAAATGGGGTAGGGTAGGAGGAGGACTGCTGAACTCAATACTGGGAAGCTAGCGAGGGCACACATGGAACTTATAGTGGGAACTTTAGTAGTGCCCGTGTGGGTACTATCAAACATGCTGAGGGTGAGGGTCACTGGGTGTCCCACATATCAACCAAACACCTTCTAGAACTGGAAGTTAGAAAGCACACCAGAATCTGCAAGATAATGCCTCTTTCATCTGAAGCATCTCTCCTGTGTCCTCTGTTCACAGGGCTTTGAGACCGCTGGGAAGAGAGAGATCTGGCAGTATCACAAGCAGGACAATGAAGACTAGATTTGGTGCTAAGAGGTAATAGATGAACAACTAGCATGACTAACAGCAATCCAGGAAACAGATACAATAGAGAGGATAAACAGAGCTAAAACTTGCTTCTCCGAAAAGTGCTAATAAAATGCCAAATTTCTAGCAAGATTGATTAAGATAACTAGGGAAGGAAGAAGTAAATACAAATGAAAACATTTACAAAAAGAGAAGTGATCAAACCATGCAAGAATGTAGAAAAGTATATGCAAATGCATATGAAACCATGGATTAAATGTTCAAATGTCTAGAACAAATAAAATAAAAAATCGATTCAAAAGAAAATTAAAGGAAACAATAGTTAACAGATGCTAATAAATAAAACACTGGGTGTTGATCAATAGGCACATCTTACCAGAATCTCAAGGAATGGACTATTGTTATACAAACTCCTTTAGGCAACTGATAAAGAGGGTATATACAGTCAGACTCATCATATGAAGTGAATTTTAACCTCATAGAATAAAGTGTTGTAACTTAGTATACCTTTGTAGAGTTTTCTTAAGGGAAAACTGAAACCCTATCTTAGTCATAATAATAAATAGAGATGCCATAATCCTTACAAATATCAGCAACTGGAATGTAGCAGTGTTTTTAAAATAAAATTTCAAATATTTAAAAATATTTAATACATCACGACAAAATTGAGATTATAAAAGCGATGCAAGAGTATTGTAACATTAGAAAGTTATAAATGCCACTACCACATTAATAGCCTAGGAGAAAAATAATACAATCATCTCACAGCTACAAAAAAAGATTTTCTAAAATTCAATATATTTCATAATAATATAGCAAGCCTTAAATGTAATAAATAATATATATTAAAAATTAATAACAAACACAATTGAGAATCTTTGAAAATAATTTATTTGTAAACATGGAATATAACAGAGTTGACATTATTACAGGTTCTAGTCTACATCATACTCAAATTCCAGCCAAAGGAGTATAACAAAGGAAATAAATCAAAAGCAAATAATCATAGGGAAAGAAATAAAATTAACATTCTAACTGGAAAATTCAAAAGATATATAGACTCATTATTTGTATAGTGAGAATTTATCAACATGATTAGTTATAAGAAGCATTACATAAAAATCAGTTGCAATTTCACATTATAGGAACAAGGTGTGAATTTTAAAATGAACCATTTAAAAAAAATCTATAGATATTATTAGACAGATATGAATAAACATAAAAGTAAACATAACAAGTAAAATATTAAACAGCAAAGATATTTACAAAGTTCTAACACTGGGAAGTTTAGTTCATATTCTTAGAAAATAGGATTTTAGTATGGTAAATATGTTAGTTCTTTTCAAATTGATTGAAGGATTCAACACAATTTTAAGAAAGATTTAATAAGATTTTTAACAAAACTTTGGTAAATGGATTTTCAAATTTATATGGAAGAGAAGTTTCTAGAAAAGCAAAAATACTTACAGTTTTTTGAGAATTCTGTATATGAAGCTATAGTAAATCAAAGAGTGTTGTACTGAAACAGATGAACAAGTTAACCAACTAGGTATAGAGAAATTATGAAACTAGGATATGATTGTATGGGATTGTTTGACTAAGGCAAATTGGTAGAGAAACTAGGGATTATTTGCCAAATGATCCTGAGACAATACCTTACATATATAATACATTTAAAAAATAGTAAAACAAATTAGTTCCCTAAAATGACTCAAATATACAGATCAACTCCAGATGAATTAAGAACTTAAATTAGAAAAAGTGAAACTTGAAAAGTTCTAGAAGAATATATAGAAGAATATGAGGATAGCGTCTAACTTTGTGGTAGAGAATTTCTTGCATAAGATAGAAAATACAGACTTTACAAAAAATATGGATACATTTTCTACCTTAAAATTAAGAACTGTTAGTTAAGATTTACAAATTAGAGATGAAAGTCACAAGAGAGTTGACAAAGGTTTAGTGTAAAAAATATAAAGAACTCCTATATATCATTTAGAAAAGAAAAAAACCAAATTAAAACCAAGAAAATTAATGCAGACATTTTACAATGGAACAAATATGTATGACCAACCAGTATGCTTTTAAAAAGATTTATTAATATCAGAAGAACAAACATGTATAAATTATGCCAAATAGATGCATTATTAATAACCAGAAAAACAAAAACATATAAATTATGCTCAGTAGATTGCCAAAAAACATATAGTTTGATAACAGAAATTTTGTGAGACGATTTTCATTCACTAGAGCTCCTACATATTGATTTATAAAATTGGTGCAACCATTTTAATAATACTACTGTAAATTCAAGAATTTACATAGCCCCTTTGCAGAAATGTTGTCACTTGACTTTCACTCCCCAAAATCCACTATAGCACCAATATTTGCAAGAGCCCAACATTGGAAACAACCCTAGTGTTCATCATTTCAAATCAACAAGCTAATAGGTATTCATTCATATATATGTGTTAAAATAAACTACAGCTGCATGCAAAAGCATGGGTGTATATAGGGAACTCTATGGTATATAAGTGTGTGTGTATGTATATATGGTATCTGTTATATATGTAAATATAATTAGTAAAGAAGCATATATAGTATATATGTATAATAGTATAAGTATATAGTATATGAGTATATATATTGTATTGTATAAGAATATATATGGCATATAGTATGTGAGGCATATAAGAACACTTTTGTTTCTTCAAAATCTAAGACAATAACACATTGTTTAGACATATTAACATGTTTTATATATTTCATGTAATAAATTAAGTAAAGTAATAATAAAAAATACAAAACTCTAGACAGTGGGTACATAGGAAGATGCAAATTATTGATAATGTCTAGTGGGTCCCCATATGCTCATTGTACTAAACATACCTACATAAATATTTGCTTAAATTATGCAAGTCTAAGTATATATATGTTCAAATTATGTATGTATATCTTACATAATTATATATCATAAAATTACATATCCTTTTGAAATATTCAAATAAATAATTTTTAAAATTATTGCTCATTTTATAAAACAATAATGTGCCCACTGTTATTAATTAAACAATGAAGAATTATCTATTTAAATAATTTACCTAAAGAGTATATTTGTCTAATATTTTCCAAAACCACATCTGATGTTACCAGTGATAACACTCCTGCCTGCCTCCTTCATTCTTTTTTTGTTATTTAAACTAAGATTAAAAAATATGATTTTATATTTAAAAGCAAGAATATAACTTTACTACATGTGTAATATACTGACTTCAAGCTGCAGAGTTGGGAAGAGATGCACACAATCAGCTCTACAATGATAATAACAGTATAAAAAATTTTCCTTGAAAACGTAGAACTTCTTAATTCCTTTGTAACTCACTCAATTAATTCATAGTATAAATATAATAACACCATAGTCATGTCTATGTTGATGTACACTGCAGTTTTTTTCAACTTAAAACGTTTGATTCATTTTGATAATAGCATTTTTATTTTACATTGATTATAGGATCAAATAACTAACACTTTAACATAAAAATAATGTACATTTTTCTAAAAGATAGTGGCAACTTAGATTCACCTACAGCAATTTATATGAGTAAAATTTCCTATATCGTCTGTCACAGGTGGATATCATGAGTAAAGTGTATTACAACTTTATTTTGTCTTTGATTAATAATCTAAACTTTTAAAAATTTATTGAGAAACATTCTGTGTCTTATCAGGTGGTCTAACTTGGTCAATGTTGTATATGAATATGAGCAGAATCTGTATGC